ATAAAAGTTTTTACCAGGAGAAACATGCTTTGCAGTGCTGCCACCTAATGGATTTTGACCCATTTATTGGATCAGAAGTTTGCATGTATTTCAAATATGAACCTTTTCTTCCTTGTCCCAAAGGTGTTTTTTTTGGAGTTTGTTTTTCCTTGAAGACATTTTGCTTTTCATCCAAGAAGCTTCTTCAGTTTTGACTGAATGGTAGAGGATGGAAATATTTGTACTCCTTGTAATCATCTGGCCATTAGCACTCCTTCTGAGATTGTTGAGGCCACTTGAAGGTTTCTCTCTGTCCTCAGGATCATCTGAATAGTGCAAATGGGTGTGGAACTTTCTTGGGCGGAATGGGACAACTTACCTCGGCCAACTTGCCATGGTCAACTCACTGTGGGATAGCTTGCTGCTAGACAATCCCACAATTCCATTTACTTATTTAAAATAATTTTAAAGCTATTTTAATTTTTGTCATTCACATTTTGTTTTGTCCCTCCTTTGGCATCCTTTCTTTAATTATTCTGTCAGAGTATTTCTTTGATATTACTACTGTAACTCTTGTCCCATGGCAAATTGTTCTGTGATGAATTGCCCATGGCAAGTTGTCCCAAGGTGAATTGCTGCAGCAAGTTGGCTGTGGTGAGTTGTCGTAGACCCTTCTTGGAATTGCTGAAAGGACTGAATTGGAAACAGGAGATAGATGGTATCATATTCCTCTTCCCCTGTTGAGAGAGAGCTATTCAATCTTAATGTAGATGGTCTCTTTGACCCCTTTCAATCCAGCCGTCCTCTCTGTCCAGAATGTGGGCTTTGCTGTCTTCAGAAGAATGCCCTTTTGTCTTTCAAATGCAGGTGGACTACTGAATCTAGTCCTGATGAGTTTGTTCTCCTATGTTGTGCTATGTGTTTGTGATTGTTTTGTTTCTCCAATGTACAGATCACAGATCTGTACATTGCATCACTGCATTGTACTGCATATATAAGTGGTATATAAGACTAAATGTTATTGCTATTGCTTCCCTATCCCATAGCTTGTTCAAAAGAGGTGCCACATAATCTAAAAGAACAGAAACAGAAGTAGAAAGTTTTTTTTTTTAATAAAGAGGCCTACTTCTAGAATATTTGCAATTGATTACATTATTTTGGTAATTTTTCCTGCATTCTTTAATTGATATTACTTATTCTTAGCACTTTGATTTTCTTATTAGCCTTTTTAAGTTGTTCCAGTCTGGTTTCCAGTTTGAGCCTGACACCTCCCTTGTATATTTCTGAGTGTTGTTAAACAATGCCTGCAAAGTACAGCAGGCATGGTCAATTTCTCCTGTGCTTCAGTAATTGGCACCTTGGTACCTTTATGTACCTTAGACATTTTATTAGAGACAACATTACCACACCTATTCATTAACCTTTTGTTTCATTGAGATATGTTTTTGTAAACGGTGTCCAAAACTATTTTAACACCTAAAATACAGGGAACCTATTAGAACAGCCACAGTACTGAAATATATTTTCATACACTCAACCGACTACTTAATTGAGATCTTCCTTTTCAGACATCATCAGCTTGTTTATTCTGTTACTTTACTGAGGCCTTATGGGTGGGAGTTATATACCAACCTGCTATATGGATGAACACATCTTTTCAATTAAATTGTAATTGGTCAATCAGTATATTTTGGATTGAATATATAACTACGAATCTGTAGATTAAAAACTTTAGTGAAGTGAAAAATATACTTCCCTTTTCTTATAGGGCAAACTCATATGATATAGGAAGTTCTATCTCATTAGCATTTTCTCACTAGCAACTTAAAATATCTTCTAAGGTCACCAACCATTGTTATATGAAATACAATAATGAAGAAAGACTTTATATCATTTCAAAACAGGTGGATGATCCTATAAAAAGGGTACAAACCTCATTTTACTGTTGTATACCATATAACCTTGGGCTTGATGCAGAGCAACTGATAGTTGGAATATTGAAATGAAAAGAACGTAAGATTACTATGCCTCTGAATTTCCCCGAATATGTCATGTATTAGTTTACCCAAGCTGTAATACATGAACCCAGGAAGAAAAATTATTCTGAAGTGTCTGGGACTGGAGCCTTCAAATACTGGGGAGAAATGAACAGCATTTGCCACATCGGGGAGAGGGGGAAATAATGCTGGGAAACATCTGTTCCTGGGAAAGAGCATCAGCTCTGTTTTCTCTGCCTGATACATAAAAGAGAGGGGGGAATAATCAGATAGAGAAGCTGGTAATCAGGAAGTGCTAAAAGATATAATTTTATTTGCTTGGTCTAGGGCTTCTTGCTATTGTTTCCTTTTAAGAGTAACATTTGTTGAAAGGAGATTATTTATACTTAAGTTTAAGTGGCAGAGACTTATTTCATATGGGAAACACTGGTTTATAGATACAGTCTTCTGATTTCATACCATAAACACTGGCTTAGTGCTTTAGACTTGCATGGGTAAATCTTAATAGTTAGATTAAAGCAAGATCACCCATGTAGTTAATGGAAGGTGTTATGGATTTACAGTGAATAAACCACCCATGTTTTCTTCTAGATCTATAGGTCTGTCTTAAGGCAAAGACACTTCTACATAGCCCCCAGCCTCCTCCTCCTTATCCTCTGGAGTATCTTCACACACTGGATGAGCCTCTTTTGCTGAATTCTATCTTCCCATATTTTTGGCCACACCCCAGCCTCAATTATTCCTCCTCATTCTCCTTGCAATATTTATTGTTAATAGAAACTAATTGGTAATGGCAAAGGGTAATGATAAAGGTACCCCCCCCACACACACAAACTTTAAGGATGATTCAGATAGCATCAAGGCACCATGTGATCTTTCCATTTAGCACAAAGGGGGAAATCCTGGCAACTTTAACAAAACACCTTCAAAGGAATTGCCATTGTTGTGTTTTTTGTTGGAGCAAGAGGTGAACCAGTAGTTAAGCGGCTCAGTTTCCTAAATTCCCTGGAAGCCTCACAACAACATGGGACTGAAGGGGTTTTGCAAATCTGATTTGGCTCTGCCCTTTGCATGTGGAAGGGGCTCACAGAAAGATCATCAGATACTTAGAGGAAGGGGCTCATGATTCACAACGAGGTCTCTTTGTGACCACCCATCTATACCTAGACATGTTAAATCCCAATCCTTGGGATTAAAGGAAGGATGATTCAAGTGCTTTAGGGAAAGATGCAACTGATTTACAAGACATTCATGAGTCACCTGCAGATTCAATATTATTTATGTGAATTCAAGTATACAACATGTCACTATCAACAGATGTTGATAAGTATCAGAGACTCTTTATTCAGAAGCACTACATCAGGCCCTATGAACTCTTTCGGTGGAAAATATCAAAGCAACTGATTTAATGAGCAATGTATTGTTTTCCTGTTATAGTATACAAGTAACTAACCAAACTTCCCCTGTGAGCAGAGCAGAGTGCATTATATAAAAGGCTTGTCATAATTAATAGCCCATTGATTTCACCAGGTTCCTCAGATTAAATAAAGGACCAACCCATAAAGAATAGAGCAAGACTGTCACGCGCTGGCCACGCCTTCACCCGTTTTAGTGAAGGACAAAAAAGTCCAGATATGTCACATGACACCTCCGTGAAGACGTGAGTTTGACACTCCTGGACTAGAGATTTCTACAGTCTACAGTCTCGATAGTAACTTTTGCATGCTACAGCATAACTCTAATGCCTAACATCCATGGGTTAAGACAGCCAGATCATATTTTTGTTTTGCTTTGCTCAAAGCTAATAAAAGGCAAATCATGAAACAATCTTCCCTTACTTGTTCAGAATTGTCTCTTTCTTGAATTTATCCAACCCTTAAGAACTTTATGTCAATTTTGTTGGAAGTAATCAAGCTGAAATCAATGGGGATTCCTCTGAGCATACAAGTACAGGATTGTGTTATTAAATTAATAATCTTTTATTAACTGTAGTTTCAATTTATATGTATAGATATTCTTACATTTGGTCATTTTATGTATTAATATTCAGAATATCAACTTTCTTTCAGTAGCTCATGTTCTCCCTCCACCCTCCAAAGATCGATTGTTTTCAAACTCATGCCCACAATAAAAAATAATGTAAATGTAACATATTAAACCTAAGTAAATGATGTCTTCAATGTTGATAAAATTGTGTATTTTTAATGGTTTTTTAAATTGTTGGAAAATTGAATAACGTTTTATTAGACAAAAACTTACTTCAAGAAAAAGCAGGTGATTGCAATTTCAGTATTTTTATTTATTTCAAAATTAAATGTGAGCTCATTTATGTAAGATGGGCAGCAAATAAATTTAATTTAAAAAAAACCTAAGTAACTTGACTTTCCTTCTCAACTAAAAGCAAATGCCTAAATCTGAAGTCCCCTTTAAGCTTGATATAACACTTTTCCTTGCTTCCCAGCCATGCCTCCCCGCCCCATTAACTCAGTGATCAGTCAACTCGAGACCAGAGAATTGTATTTTTAAACAATCACAGAATCTTCCCTCTTATTTTAAGAATGCGAGTTATTCCTATTAAATAATTATATTATGTATTTTAAGAGGGTGAAGGAATAACAACATTTTAGCCTAGTGTTGGAACGATTTAATGTCATTGTTTGTAAACTCGAACAAGATGCTATTGTTAAAAGTGCTACATTATATGCGGAAAAGAACCAATAGCAGACATGCTGGAAATTCTGGAAGATGCTTAAGAAAACGGAATAGGCGAATAATAATAATAATAATAATAATAAAGAACCCCAAAGGCTGTCAATTTGCGGGGAACAGCGCAAATTTAAGGCGGGAACTCCCTGAACTACAGTTCCCAGCGATCCACGCAAGAGGGGCGGGGCCAGAAATGGTTGAGTGCTGCCCTCTTTTGGGTATGCCTAGGAAGTTGAGGAACGAGAAGGTGACAGTAAATGAGGGGGACAGAGAGCTGACTATTAGGGGTCCTGGGACGGCGGCGAAAGTTGTAGAAGGAAACTTCTGCAACAGGCTGCCAAGAAGAGCGCCCAAGAGGAGCCGACCAGCAGACGAGACCAAAACTTCAGTGAGTTGGCGAAGCGGCTTGGCAGTAGCGGCGGGGTTATAATACGTTTCTCCCTTAAGAGAATACAGCGGTTTCCTGACCTTCACGGCAGGGTGAGTAAGGGAGGGTGGGAAACATTTCAGACGGGCCAGGCAGAAAGACTGAACGCTTTGCAGTGCCTTTCGGCCGGGGTTAACCGGGGCCGGCAAAAAGTAACAGTAACCCTTGCCGCCGCTCTCCTCCCCCCCCCACCCCCGCCCATCCGCTGATTGGGGTGGCAACGGTGGGTCCGACGCCTGGTTTGACCCGAAAGACATTCGGGATTCCCAAGCCAGCAGGTGCAAGAGAGGGCGAAGGGAAAGGAGATGCCGCGTAGTGGTGGGGGTGTGGGGGGGCGCGCATAACTCCAAGCGGGTCGCGAGAATCCGGGGAAGCGGCGAGCGGACGAAGCGGAAAGGCTCAGGCTCGGCGGAGGCGCCGGCGGGGCGTCCTCCTGCTTCGTCTCCGGTGAGCGGTCCCCGAGCAACTTCAGGGAGGGCCGGTAGATCCCGAGTTTGGAGTCCTACCTCTGAGCGCTTGGGGTCACGCGTGACAACGGGGTGGGTGGGGAGGTGGGAAAGAAACCCGGGGAAGAAAGTTTCTTGAACCTCTCCCCCCCTCCCCCTCCCATGGCACTTCCGAGCCGGTGGCAGAGCCGCGGAGCAATTGAGGAGGAGGAAAAGCCGAGAGCTGCTGACTTCGCCCGCTGCCAGGCGGAGGAGGCGGAGGAAGAGCGGGGCGGGGGTGGGGGGGTGCGCTCAAATTGGAGAAAGGAGGAAGCGGGGCTTGGAGGTGGGGCTGGCCCGCCTCGCCTTCTTTCTCTGCAGCGCCGCCAGGAGATTACGGGGATCCAGGGAAGCTTTGCATAACTGTTACTTCAAAAAGGGAGGGGGGGGTTGCCTTTCAGCGGGGGCTCCCGAACTTCTGGTAGTTTTGCTCTTGGTCTAAGCCGGCAATATTCCTGCCTCACTTCGCCTCCCGGGCTTCGTTTGTCCCGTTCGCGCTGCCTTCCAGGCGAATCCCGAAGAGACGACTTTATGTCCTTCTGCTTGTGAAACGGAAGTTTCCGATGAGAGAGGTGCTGAAAGCTCCTCGTTAGCTTTAATTTGACGTTTGATTATTCTTCGGACAAAGTCTCGGGGAATTCCCACGTGCTTTTGATGTTAAGAGGTGTGGGGAAAAAATAAATGCCGGCCGCGTCATGCAGCGCCCGGCCTGCCTCCGGCGCTCTTCGGTAGTTAGCGCTGCTTTAGGTGGAATGCCTCGTGCTGGGGAACCTCTACCATGTGCCCTGCTCCCCAAACCTGCCGATGATTAAACAGAATATAAGCCTTTGCTAGGGTAGGAAGGAAGGCAACGGTTTCTCTTTTAGGCTCCTGCTTTAGTACTTTTTTATTTATTTATTTTAGCAATGGTGGTTGTACTGGAAATGTAGCTGCTTGGAGGTTTTGTTTTACAAGGGAGTTTACAAGTTTGTACAAGGGAGAAAAAAAACATGACTGGGTGGCAAACTTCTATCAGAACTTGTATCAAAAATATCCTGGCAGGTCAAAGGTTAGATCTAGGAATAGCACACGTGGAATAGCAAACAAGATATGATCATCATCATCATTGGTAGCAAAAAACAAACACACAAACAAACAAAAACTGCAGCATCTTAAAACACTGGTTTACTGTATTTATGCCGCTCTGATATGATACATTTATTAAAAGTGTTTCCATGAACTTTCCAATGACAGTAAATTTAAAGAAGGTGTGAATGTGTTTATAGCTTTGGTGCTAAATACAAGCTGTAATTTATTATTGCAGCAATGCTTTAATGCTCTGCGTAATCCTTAGATTTCTGAGAAGCACTGTACTCAGAATATTTTATTAATACCTATTGCTTTGACCTTGTACATTTTTTCTTAATGAACATAAGGGGGGGGGGTGAGACCCTGAACAGATGGTAGCTCAGGGCACGCATCTTACTACTGTTCATTGTGCTTTTAATTTCCTCTACCATATTTGTTTAACTTCATGCATGGCTACTTCCACCACCCGTATGGGGGCTGGAAAGACAGGTCTCTGCCTGATTTTTCTTGAGTCTATTGCTTTCCTTTTCTGTTTACAGATGCTATATATGCAGGTCACACAGTACTGGATAAGCAGATGCAAGTAACCTGTCCTTTGGAGAAGAATTAAAACAAAACACAGAGTCTTGAGGATTCCTAGGGCTTGGTACCAGGATATATACAGCATATACAACCTCTTGGTGGCCATAAAATCACCTGCTGAGGAATAGGTGGGATTTTATGCCTAGTATAGGCTAATCTCAAATTATAATCTCACTCAACACATGCAACAGGAAACATAATGGGTCTGGTTTCTGTACTGTTGTAAGAAGTATGACTCAGAAGTGGGAGAGTTGAGTAATCCTTATGGCCGTCATTGACTAGTTTGGGTGTAAAACCTCTGCAAAGCTGGGATTTAATTGTTTTGATCTGTCCCCTGTTCAGGCATCTTCATTCAGACGATAAAACTTCTTGGGAGTTTTTCCTTGTAGACTTTTCAGAGTAGCTGGCAAAGCTTATGTCTAGGAAACTATCTTTTTTCAGTCTGGATAGCATAGATTTTTGGAACTGGGGGTACATATATCCAGTTCCTATTCTTGCTAGATATATTTCTCATCTTTTACAAGCAGAGAATGATTACAAGCTCTCTTAAGAGCTGCAGCCTGTTTTAGCCATTGTGTTCTGAGAATTTTTTTAGTATTGGCTTCTCTGTGTATATATTAGAAGTGATAAATGCTTCGCCAAGGATGAAGTCTTTTTCAAAGGCATTTTTTTGAAAGTTATAAAACTAATTTTGAAAAGTAAAGTTTACATTCAGTAGTGTTAGAAAATACTTGGCAGGAACATGCAAATTCAATGATTTTAAATTTGGATCACATATTTAATTAAGTCATTCTTTAACTATGGTTTACTGAACCTATCATAGTGGCTGCCATTATGGAATATGATGAAAAACTTGCTAAAGTGAACAGGCTTTGGAAAATCCCATTTCTTAGTGAAGCTTAGTGTGATGTATAAATCTGATCTTAGATAGGTGGAATTGCCATGTCTGAGCATGGCTGTTGTATTTTTAAATTTTTTGTTCAATGTATTAAGCAAAAAGCAGTCAATAATTAACCATGATTTAACATTGTGTTTATTTAGTAAACTCTGTTTAAACAAATTGTAGCTTGTCATGAAGCTAACACTGCCCAATTGTTGCAAAAAGAAATCCATCTGATGTTCCTGTTATTTTTCCACATGACAGAAGAAGCTGCATGGTTTAAAACTAAAAGATGACTTATTTTTCTTCTTACTCACAGTATCTAGATTAAATGGTGAAAAAAAATGTGACCTTTTCTTTGTGACCTTTGGAAGCATATAGCATGAAATAATGCTAGAGTGAGCACACCTTTGCATTTAAGTGCTACTTAAATCCCCATAGGTAGCTAGGAAGTGTATTCAAGTGAAGCATGAACTGATATGGTGTAACAAGTAGATAGATACCTCATCATCAGTTCTTGCTTGCTCATCAAACTGGAGGGAGCTGTCAGTTTTGCATATGGCACAACATTGAGAGAAAGACTCAACAGCTAAACAGTGAGAAATAAACCTTTATTAGCTAGAAAATAGAATTAAATGTAACAGAGAGAAACTCATTTTTTTTTCACTTAGGAAACAAATCAAGTTTACCAGAATAGAGTGCAGGTATCTTTCTTGATAATACAGTAGTACTTTTGGGGAAAATCCTGGAATAATTTATTTGCAGACTGAATATAAGCCAGCAATATAATATGATTATGGAAGGGACAAATGAAATTTTAGGTTGCATCGGGGGAAGTATAGTCTCCAAATTACAGAACACAATCCCATGAATTTATTTTACTTTGGAGAGATCCCATCATTATATTCTGTGCATCTCTGGACTACATATTTTTTTAAAAAAATCAGATTGGAACAAGTTAAGAAACAAGCAATAAGAATGATCAAAAGATCAGAAACCAAACCTCATGAAGAGACATTGAAAGAATGGAAGATTTTAGCTTTGAGAGGGAATTTGATAGACATCTTCAAATATTTGGGGGAAAAAGTGGGTTTGGAGTTTTTAGGGGATGGAATTTTGGTTAAACTTGTGTATGGACCATTTGCAGAGGTTTGAAAAGCCTGATTTGTCATGTATTTCTTTGTTAGATTTAAATCTCATATTTCTTTTATGAGTTCAAGCTAGCTTATATAGGGATCATCCTCCATTATTATTCCCACAGCAGTAAAAGGCTGGGCTGGAGAAATTGATTGGCTCAAAGTAACCCAATGAATTTCCATTGGTGAGATAGAGTGTGGATCTCTTCTCCTAGTCCAGCACTTTATTCACTACACCACAGTGGCTCTCTTATTATATATAAATTGTGGTATGACCAACAAAATGTTGAATTGTTCAACAATCTGTAGTTGAGGACACAGTGTGATTTAATCATAGTATTGAAAAAAATGTTTAGAATTAAGGTATCTTAATTCTGAAATAAAATGAGACAGCTGAGTGGAATTTTGAATGGATGCATGAATATATTTATTATTCTTTATTTGGTGTTATTTCAGAGCTTGTAATTAAATATATAGAGATGTATAGAGCTTTCAATATATATATATATATATTACTGAACAAACTTGATATTCTTTCTTGTTGAGTGACTTAATGTATATTTATTTATATATATAAAAAGTTAAATGATTAATTAGTCACAAATTATGTGACTAAGACAACTATTCATGCTATCTGGTATCAAAGGAGAAGTGTCAAATTATTACAAGGGGAACAAGAGGAGATGACTTTAAATGTTGACTCACTAAATGATAGGTAATTGGCAGAGTTAATTTGATCTCCCAAAATAAAACTTGCTATTACTTGTGTTAAAGCTCTAATGCAATAAGCTCAGGGGTATATTATCCATC